TAATCAACATTTTCTAGACTTAATGTTATTCTTAATCTTCGTATGATGGAAGATTTAAGTTTGTTGTTGCCAAGTCAGAAAATTTTTTCTTTGTGCTTGAAGAGCGTAATTCTCTCTCTTGCGTGGTTGGCTTGTTTCCATCTTGGGAATGTTCGTTTACAGTTGTAGCACATTCTCCCGAATGTGAGTCAGCTTCCGATGGTCACTTATACTGTTTTCAGGGGTGAATGCAACCTTATGACGTTTCGTAGGCTGCATGGTTTCGGATAGTGATTGATATAGGCGATTTCTTTGTTCAGAAGAAATTGGATATTAGGTTAGCAAACTCATCATCGGATTTACCAAATATGAAGATAATTATTACATGGTTGCCTATGAACTCTTTTACTATTAATACATAACACATATGCACGATGTTGCATTTGCTAGCCAAGAGGGCAATTTAATATTATAGTAATGATTGTAGTTCCAGAAATAAGCACCTCCTAATATGCTTTGTACATGTTGATAATGATCTATATAATGAAGTTGTTCGCACCTTTGATCCACATTTCTGCTGGATATCGGACTTATCAAAAAACAACAGAAAACCGTGTCACGTGCGAAGCACGATTTTCAATATCTCACTAGTTACAAGAATAAGAGTTAAAATTGGTTTATTATTATTTTCAAGTCATGCCAAAGCATCAAGCATTCGAACATGTCGAAAGGTCATCGGGGACGTTGCTTTTTATACTTTCTGAGAACCAATTTCTACCGCAGTTACAAAACCAACAATCCAATAGAATACAAACAATTAACTTAATTGTTTCAGACTTAGATTACGTCCATTTGATCGTCAAAGGGTATACAGTCAGTCTCGATAAGTCGGCCAATGGCTCCAGCTATCTTAGTTGGATGTGTCTCGATAAGTCGGTTTCACGTGACAATCTATTATAGTTTCTTCAATTTACGATGATTAATTGTCCAATATAATACTTGAACTATTTACAGCAATCGAATAATGCAGTTCTGTGTTCTCAGAAATGAAGGATTTACAGCATCAGATAAGAAGAAAACAAATCAATTCTCTAAGACAAGATAGCCTGCAAGATTATTTGCAATGTAATTACACTATTATGCTAAATATTAATAAAATAAACAAATGTATATTTTCAAACACATGGTTTTCAATAAGTTAACCTTCTTGATAAGTCAGCCATTTGAGGTGGAATGCTGCTGACTGACTTGTTATTATTGAGACTGACTGTGTAGCAGTCACATTATAGTTTCATACATTGAAGAAAGTAATGCGTTCAATATACCACGACATGTAAGAACGATAGTCTACGCTTGACTTAATTACAAGCATTAACGAAACGTTCTGATCGACTTTTTTAACACGTATATCTATGATTCGTGTATTGTAGACCATGAATGTGACATTCTTATTAGGCGATACTGATTTCTACTATCTGTCAACATGAATGCTGTATAGGGATTAACAATAGATCATTAGAAGAGGTGGTTATCTTAATTATTTCTATATTTGAATGACGGCAAGAACAGAAAATAACTGCATAAGACATTAGCGTTACATGCTTCATGCATTTCCGCACGTGACGGTATATTCGCGTATGATTCAGTCAAACTCTATTGGTCAGAAGTTTTCGTAACATACGTCGTCTAGTTTCCAATAAGGTAAAACAATAGTAACGCTTACAAAACTCCGGACTTTCCTTAATATTGAATTCATAATAATAAGGAGCGTACCGCATGTGATATTGTTAAGTGACCCTACTAAAATTGCCTAATTAAATAGATAACACATGAACTGATCAGATTATTCAAACGTTGTGCCTTCCCCAATTTTAAGGTGGTAAAGCCACATGGCATATAAATCCGGTCAAACAAAGGGTTGGTCACACATCTCCTAGTACTTGTCGTCCCAATGTGCTTGTCGTCTTGATATCTAACCTGTTCATATTACTGTTGAAGCAGTCATTGGCCGAGAATGTTCAAGTGGAATCTTCTCGTGCAGAGATCTACAAATCAAAAGCGGGATTTACTTGGAAGATTGTTAAGTATTAATGTTGATTCAAACACACGTATATTTCGGCACTTGAAATATCAGCAATCGTTCCCGCAAATACGCTTTATCTCGACATCAAGCAACAAGTCTTACCGACACAGCAAGATTTCCCAAATCGGAATAAAGAGTATTATTGGTACTGGATTAATATCCTGTGGATACTTGTTGATACAAAAGTCGTCTCTTCCTATAACATGCTCTCAGGCATCATCATCATCATCACTGATGGATGAGTTAGCATCAACTGACGACCGGATAGCAGTACAAGACAAGAAAGTGTCTGAACTAGTTCGATCTCTTCTTGTCTACAAACTATGTTCGTTCCAATCGCTCGTCAATTTTGCACCCAATCTAATTGAACTTGCGAAGCGATTACACCTATCGTGGTTTGCATATTGGACGATTAAAAAGACGTTCTTTGCTCAGTTTTGCGGGTAAGTTTTGAGTTATGCAGTATTCGATATAGTATAAATACAAATACTCATATAATGTAATTTTCCATACGTTCTTCAAGTGGCCAGACAGCGGAAGAATGCATTGAAACGATGAACCGATTGAAGAGTGAGGGCATAGGATGCATTCTTGATTATTCGGTAGAAGCAGATGTTGAAAACAGTAAGGGTTCAAGTGATCCCGAGAGTGACGAGTTTCGCAAGTGCTTCAACGAAAAGGCTGACTATGTCACAGATATGATGTTAAAATGTATTGACACTGCAGCTACTCATCCCAACAGTTTTATAGCTCTCAAAATAACTGGAATAACCAATCCTCTCATGTTGGAACGACTATCGACTATACTTGTGACACTGTACAATCAATTCAGACGACATGATAATGATAAAGACGGTATAATCAGTAGATCTGACTTGTTAAATATTATCAAAGAAGTTTCAGGAATCAGTGACAAGGCTGCCGAAAAGTTACTGGATGAATTTCACATACCCAACGTCCAGACGATCGATATGGTTCAATTTCAGGACATCTTCTCGATTGACAGTCCCAAGATGCGACACTTTTTTTCTTCTCTTCCAAACGAGCGCCTAACCTCATACGATATCGCTGATTACGATAAACTTATGGCACGTCTCGACCGCTTGTTTACCGTCGCTCGTAAGAGTAATGTCAGGGTCATGGTCGACGCTGAACAGCTTCGTTTTCAACCTGCCATCGATAGTATTGCCATGCGACTATCCTGCGAATATAACAAAATGCACGGCAGTCCATATGGTCCGATCGTATTCAATACCTATCAAATGTACCTCAAAGATGCCCGCGAACGATTAGAGTTGCATTACGAGATCTCACAAAGACAAGGGTTCGCATTTGCCGGGAAATTGGTTAGAGGCGCGTATATGACGAGCGAGCGCGAGCGAGCCAAAGCGTTAGGGTATGACGATCCCATACAAGATACCATAGAAAGTACACATGACGCCTACAATAGTGCCGTGGAATTTTTAATCAGGAAACAGAGTGAGATACAGATGACAATGGGAGCAAAGTTAGGTTTACGGAATTCGCCTCTACTGCTTATGATCGCTTCCCACAACGTTGACTCGATGATAAAAGCATGTAAACTGATGGAGGAGTTGAATGTCTCTTCTGATTCGGGAGTTATCTTTTTTGGCCAGTTGTTTGGTGAGTTTAAATAAGAGTCGATAGTCTGACAGCTGGAATTCAGAGATGTAAAGAATTGGTACTCATATATGTATTATTTCAAAGGGATGCGCGATCACGTATCGTTTACGCTGAAGCGTCACGGGTATGAAGTGTATAAATATGTTCCATATGGCAAGGTAAAAAGAAAAAGACCGATGACGTTTTGGTAATTTTGCTATGTATGCGAACCAACCACTAATTTCTATACGTCCAACATATAAAAGCTTGAAGAAGTCATACCATATCTTATTCGAAGAGCTCAAGAGAATTCATCGGTGCTGAACGCTACAGACAATGAGCAGAGCATCCTCTGGAATGAGCTCGTAAGCCGCTTATGATATAACATATGGATGCTGTTTGAACATTATCCTTCTGCTAGGGTACTAGTCGAGTGAAACGGAAGAAATCGCACGGCGTTCTCAAAAATCGTGGGATAGATCCAATCGTGAGTTTGATGATGACTAGTCGTCCTTTTGGAATTAAAATACGTTACAAGATTTATTATTAATTTGAATCCCAGCAATATATCAGTTTAATGGAAATCAATCGTGATTTAGAGCTAATTATAGTGGTAATAATTTAAGAATAAGAAACCAATAGATTTCCTCTCCTATTTTCCATTATTCTAGAAAATCCCGTCGATTTCAAGTCCCTTTATTAAATGCTTGGACAATTTCTGATATGCAATAAGCTGGAATTTATAGATTGGTCAATTTTATAAACCAATGCAATGGTCCGTATGGAAGGATAGCTGGCAAAGCCTGCTTCTCTCAGATAGCAGAATGCGGGGATTCTAGAGAGAAACGGACAGGGTTGGAACACCAGTTAGGTTAGTCTAAACCCAATGTAAAGACAATTAAACCGAGAGTTACGTAGAAATGCCTTTTAAAATTTTCGACAGTAAATAAAAAAAGTTTAACGCGGGGAGCGGATGGGGAATTCACAGTTTAGCCTTGATATCGTGCGAGTCATGATTATTGGATTTTCCATCTTTAGCTTTTACTTTATCCAAAAACTCGCCCAGCAACTCGTTTACTTTGTCTGCATGTTCAAGCAATATCCAATGTCCTGATCCCTCGACATACTGAAATATGCATATGGGGTTAGAACATTTTCAGGTTAAAAAGTGTGGTATGGAGTCCAGTGTAAAAACTTACTTTCATAGTCAAGCTAGTAAAATATTTTGGCATTTCTTTGGACATTTCTGGAACGATATAAGGGTCATTCATGGCAACAATCTATTTAAAGAAATTATTTATGAATCATCATAACATCTTCAAGCTATATAGCAACATTGAGAAAGGCCTTACCCCTAGACACGGTATAGTTACGTGTTTTCGTGCACCTGTTTTGAAAGTCCAGTTAGCTTTTGTAGTCTGCGTGCGTCATTTTATAATTGTTTGAACCTAATTGTACCTTTCTCATCTTGAAAATTAACACTCCTAACCTTGTACCAATTCAAAGGTCCGTGGAAGCCACCCTTTTTATATTGTTCAATGATATAATTTAATTCCTGTTTACTCAGAAGGGAACTATCCTCTATATGAGTTTCTCCTATAGGTCCCAGTAACGACTTTCCATCATATAGTTTGATGTGATCTTCGTGTTTACGATATATGGCTTTGAAGAATAGCTCTATCTGTAATTAGAGAGTGTGCTGTCTGTCAATCAAATAATCTTTCGTGGGATATACAATTTTCGTGGAGAAAAAAATTCGTATGTTACATTCGTATCCAGTTCGATTTCAGCTTTGGGATGAGCAAAGTATACTTGATACGCCAGACTAGGAATAATTTCTGCGATTGCTTCGGGTGACAAGAATGTCTCTTGCGGCGGCACATACGGACAGCAAATACTAGAAAAAATGCAAGAAATTAAATGAATATAAAGCCAACTGACATATCTAAAATAAAATTGATAAAACGGAAACACGTTTCTTAATATTAAGACCCAATGCATACTTGCCCAATGACGGAAATAACTCTATCAGGATGAAAGATAGCCATTCTCCATGCGATATGGCCACCCCAATCGTGGCCTATAAATATAGCTTTTTGTACTTTGATCTGATTTAATAATTCAGTGAGATCCTTGCATACGTTCTTCGCTCCGTATTCGCGTATATCATTCGGCGGACAATAAGGTGCTTCCTACATGATTGAATTTAGATTCATTGTTATAATAGTCGGTAATTGTAACCGGGGTATCTCATTTTCGGACTCGGGTTTTGCTGAAAAAGACATTCTAAATCGTACTCACAGTTTCCCCATAACCTCTTAGATCAGGAACAATGACGCGATATCCCTTGTCAACCAGGAAGGGTATCTGATATCTCCATCCATACCATAAATCAGGGAATCCGTGACAAAGAACTAGCGTTTGTGCTAGCTCAGGTCCCTCATCAACATAGTCTAATTACCAGATGGATAACCATGAAGTTTCTTTTCTTGTATCAAGACGATTTGTCATTTACGTTCTAGTTATACGTACGATAAGTAATTCCATTAATAAAAGAATATTTATGCCTGAAAGACCTAGGTAAAAGCGGGTCAAGCTTGCGTTTAGATGCCATTATTATGAAAGTGGCAAGAACAAGTTGTGAAAATGCAAAAAATGCAGATATTTATCATCGATCTCGATTACAATTTTGTATTACCGATAAAAAACTTGAATTTACACACGCCAATCATGCATGATCTCTTATCCAATACGGCCAGAAATAACCTCTTTTTTTACGAGAGGACCATTGGATGATCTTATGATAATAGTAGTGACAGCAAACACGTATATTACCAAAAATGGGAGGCACTATTAAAATTGAAAATCGAGATGATCTTCAACTTCATATGCGAGTGTGCAAATTATAAATATCGGGTCACATGGGGTATAGAATGCATACTGAATGGGCTAAATATGGTAGTCTAGGTAAACGGGGAAGGGGGCCTCGGTTAATACTTTTCATTTAAAAGAATCTCGTGACATTAATGCTCCAAGTAGTATAACAGTTTTTAATTTATATAATACATTGTGCAAGTAAGACATTGCCGCATTGTTTAAGATGCACATGCAATTATTAGTAATGGTAATGAGCGTAAATATGTTTTAACTCGTATTAGTATGGAAATGCCCGTCTAAAACCAGTAGAACAAATTTATTGAATCTAATTGGGTTGTGCAATTATTTAATCGGTTGTTTATATTTATATGCACGGTCAGAGTGAACGTAGCGCCACACATATTCAAATTCCCATAGTAATAGACGATTGATCGGTTTTGACAAATTAATCTGCCTTATCTATTTCCCTTGATTCACAAAGAGCAAAACAATTAATTGCATGCAAGGCACCAAATTCGTAATGGTATTTACTCAACAAATCTTTTTTCGTCCTCGGTTCAACGTGAGAAAATTAACGGTCGGATTGGCTTTACTAGCATTCAATCAGCAAAATAGGCTCGTTTTATTCAAGTGTCATTGCTCACGAGCCCCTAATAAATACTAATATAACACGCCAAGCGAGTCGATCCTTCCATCTTTATTTGAATTATACAATATTTGTAGTATACAGTTACTGTTTTTAAAAATTAGTGACATTCAGTGTTTGTACTCGTTATTAATGTTTACTGTGCAAGGGTAACGGGCATTCCCTGTCTTTTGTTTATTATATTGATCGATAGCAACGTTATCGCTATTATTATTAATTAATATTATGGTGTACAATGCATATCATTGAATAGACAGTGTCTAAGCACACAATAGGAGAAGATAAATAGATATGAAATTATCATTATTGTCACAATTGCCACGTTGAGAACAATCGAATCTTTCAAACGATATCATGCACAATCTTTCCGTGCTTATCGAATAGAATGAATTCGATATCAGGGTCCAATTTAATATACAGTATATTAAGGTAACATTTAAATTCCTTGGTATTCAACAAATTCTCGTTCGACGAACCTCCTAGTGCTTTGGCTATAATTTAACCGTTTTTGCTTGAAGTATTATTAATTCAAGCTTTGGCTACTTCATAAATTGACAGTAACCGCTTTATTAGATGTCGAATGGCATCATGTCGCGTGTTTAGTATACGCACGAAAAAGGGAAGCGTGCGTTCATTAACAGTTAACCAGAACAGGCTTGTTATTGATTGAGGTGTTCGAGACTAAGAATTTGGAATGACATCATAGTCGTTAATAATAAATTAATGAATTATCTCTGATTGACTAGACTGCACATTTGAAACAGTATGTGCACTGTCAGTCTGGCACTTGTGGGATTCTTTTCCCAGTGGAGGATGCATGAATGGGCTTAGCCATGCGTTCACGTGTTGCAATGTTTTAAAGTTCGTCACCATTGTACTATATTAAACTAGCGCCAAAACTCGAAAGTAATTTATTAGTATTAGAATTAAACCAATATGTGATCATGTGAGAATCAGATATCCTATTGAGACAAGAGTCTTCTCTACCATAAATTGTTGTGTAAGAGAGCAGCTAAGGTAAAAACAGTATTGGGAAACAGAGTATTATTGGCTCAACGAACAGTAGCAGGCATCAGACAAAGGAGCGAAGTCCCGCATGGATGGTTTCCGTTTGATATCATATCACCTCCTGGTTCTCGTGGTTACATAAGTATCATTATACCTGACTTTCATTGTATCCGTCGTAATCTCCTCGCAGCATCCTGAATAGAGTATTCAGAATGTGTTCACCACCCTCACGAAGACCACTGATTAAGACAAAAAAAGTTGCATTAAAATTGGTTCATCGAAATTAAACAAAACAATGAAATATTTACTTGTGCTGATACTCGTTTGTGATCCAATGCCTGAATCCTTTAATCTTGGAAACTGTTTCCTCGCTCAATTTAAGGTCAACATACCTACAAGATGGTAGTAAGAGGATATTGTTATTCAAAAAGAATCGGTTACAAATGTTTCATTGGTTCGACCGTCAACATTGCATAACATAATTTTTTCAGAGAGATCCATTGATCAGCTACTTACATATCCTCGTAATAAGACACACCTGCAACCGGTACGTTATTTTTACCCAACTGCTTAACGTCATACAACGGGCCCCAGTTCTCATACTGAGCCAGCAAATGAGCAACTTCCTTCAATGGCCTCAATTCAGCATAATCATCAAACATCCAACTATAAATCATCTCCCCCGTAAACAACACTGGCTTGCCCTCATTCTGTTCCAACCATTCCAGAGAAAAATCAAAATCCTTTGTCATATTTCTCTCTGCTGACCAGTTTGATTTTTCTCCCTGACAATAAATAGCCTCGTGCAGTATTGCGTATAAAATATTAGAATCGAACGGCTGTCTGTTAGATATTTTTTCCAGACAACGATAACTCAATCTTCCCATAACTTCGATGTCGTTGGCTGTGAGAATTACAATTTGATGTATTGCATCAAACCCGCCATGCTCACCGAATGCGATGCCAAGTTGTCGGAAACGTCTAGGAGTAAGAAAGCCGCCGTCAGGAAGGATGACAGTGTTGGTGGATAAATATCGGAGAATGGTGCGGACTCGTTGGATGTCTTTCGGGTATTTCAGGTAATAGATAGAGTTTCGTTTTATGAGCTGGCAGTAGAGAGCCTTGTATACTGGATCTGGATTGGAAGCCAGCGGTGGTACGCCACCTGTTATGAAAACTGGTAAAATTTGGTTTAGAAAAATATCAAATATACGTTCACGATAAGTACTTGAGACGAGGAAAAGAATAATCAAAAGCACCGGGCCAAATATCTACCAATAAAATTTGTCGTCATTGTTGAGACTATATTTACCTTCCTGAATACTATTCGGGCTTTAAGTCAAAGAAACAAACATTTTGATGAGGTACGTCATGCTCTAAACCCATCCAAACCTTAGTACGAATATCTTGCACCTCCAAAATCACTCCCATATTCATCCTCTCAACCTTCATCTTCAATCACATCACTGAACTATACTTACAATAAGGACAAATAATTAATACAACAAAAGCCACCAAAGCTCTGCCCTAATAAACTCCATTTCCTCCCGCCACACAGTTCTCTTCTTATAAGCTCGGCATCCTTCACTATAGAATCCGCTCTGAAATATTTCAAATAATCCGCCTTCGCTTCCGCCGTTTCAAAATTTCCAAGTGAAGCAGCCGATATAGGTGTCGATAATCCAGTTCCACGTTGATCGAGTAACAGCCATTGATAGCCTTTCGCGGATGCAGCTCTATATGCACCAGAATAACTTGGGAGAGAACATTCGAAGCCAGGACCACCCTAAAGGAATAGGGGTGAATAGAATTAAATAAAACATTGGGAAAAAAGGCGGTGCAGTTAAGAGCTGCAGGTAAACGTAACGTAATCAGATTGGATACATGCTTGGAGATATAATAAAAATGGTAATTGTTTGGCGCTATGGGCTTTGTCTAGCGGGACGACTTGGCGTGCAAATAAGCGAATTTTAGCTCCCGATGGATTATCGTGGTCTGATGTGATTAATGCAAAGTAAGGGAACCTTGGTGAGATTATGTCGATATTCAAGAGTTTTATATAGACGATAGATACCTAGTGGAACTGTAAAGAAATGCTCAAATATCTTAAATCCGGGAATAAGATAGGTTTCCACATCAGCATCAAAACCCATAATCGATAAATTGGTTCTCTCCATAAACCAACCGACTTTCGTTGTCTAAGATAGAGTATCTGACTTTGCGCGGCACATAGGGGCATTCTGTAACTACAGTCATACCTCGTTTATATCCCCACTTTGGGACAGAACTTTTTTGGGGATATATTCGAGGTGGGATACAACTG